TGTGTGTGTGTGTGTGTGCGTGTGTCTGTGTGTGTGTGTGTGTGTGTGTATATGTGTGTGTGTGTGTGTGTGTGTGTGTGTGTGTGTGTGTGTGTGTGTGTCTATGTCTGTGTGTGTGTGTGTGTGTGTGTGTGTGTGTGTGTGTGTGTGTGTGTGTGTGTGTGTGTGTGTGTGTGTGTGTGTGTGTGTGTGTGTGTGTCTGTGTCTGTGTCTGTGTCTGTGTCTGTGTCTGTGTACACGTACACGTGTATATGACTAGAAATACAATGCGTAATTAATACATATTTTGTGTGTGTGTGTGTAGACGTGTACATGACTAGAAATACAATGCGTAGTTAATATATATTTGTGTACTTGACTTTGTGCACGTGTACGTGTTGCTTATACGTAACTTTGCAGATAAGTTGACGTATTCGTCCATATGCGGGATTTTCAAGTATCAAAGTGACGTTTTGATGAATAGACAATATATCGGTAAAGACATTGCAATACCGCCAGGGTATTTATATCTAAACAAAACAAAACAGCGCAAGTCATTTTGTACATGTTAATACATGTTTCCCCGCTTATATATATGAATAGTTTGACCTCGTTGGACAAGACTATCGTATCTACACAGATAGAATATATTTTTCATGCTATACGAATAGTAATTATAAATATATAGTACTTATCATACCTGTGCAACCCAACTCTTCCTGGTCTTCAATAAAGATTCACGCGCCCTCCCAGAGGTGATTCGAAATTCTACCGCCCTGATCTCGTCTGGCGCTCTGTGTATGCAACAGGCAGATCGATTCTACTATTAAATTCCAATCGATAACCTTTGAAGTACCTAAGGTGCTCTACATAGTACATACAAAACAAACACACGTATCAATTTAGTATCCGTCAACAACTTAAACTCGCTTGTTGCCAACCACAACTGCGCTGCCAGAAACGACCCGTGACAATAGCGAGGAACCTACCTTCTGATAGCCGAACGAGAGAACTGGTGCAAGCATATCTTAGCCGGTATTCGTGGCTTGAACCTGACAACATCCACAGCCAGCATGCTGGTTGGAAGTTTAGAGACTGCGTTGGACAGGTGATATGATCCATAATCTAATCAAGCTGATCACATATAAACTAAATTTTTTTTTAACCAAAACTAACCATACAAATAGCATAAAATCAAAGCCCCCTGAATATTCAACCAAAATCTAAAAATCTTCTTTTCTCAGGGGGCTATTCTAAAAATTTAAAAACCAGTTTACATATTTACGTATTTGTTTACGTCTTTGTGATGAGCCTTCATAAACCCCAAAAACCCCCCCCCCCCGGGGAAATTATTGGGTACAGTCATAATTGGCAAATATTTGGACATATAAAGAGGTAAGACAAGTCTGGGTCAGTCTCATCCCATAGGTTGGACCCTTTCGGGGTCCAACCTATGGGAGTATGGGTCACACCAGGAGGTCTAGGCGCACTCATTAAATACTCCTTCCCTTTCGTGACGACCAAGCCCTGACATACACTAAAACCAGCTTCTCTTACCTTACCGACCCACTCAATCAAACGCTTCTCGAACTCGTGATGTGTTCCTCTCCTTTCTTGATATTTCTTTGTTGCATGTTCGTCATAAGACTGACTGAGTATCCTCTCCGGACTCCATGAACCTTCTTATTGTTTTGATACTGACGCCGAACGATGCAATCCTTGCGATTGTTGTCTTTCCATGATAAGTCTAAGCTGTATCCCGCTTTCTAGATTGTACGCACGATGGCACCTTTATCTTTGTTTGTTAGACGAATCTTTTTGTTGTATTGGAGCTCCCCTTTGATAATACAGTCTGTTTATATGTTTTCTTCTTCTTACCAACAGTGAGCTTATCTATTATCATACTAAATGCTCCTTTCATACCAGACGATACATCCTGCTTGGGCGTCGACTGTGGTCTCGATCCGCCTGGTTCACTCGTTGTAGGTGCGTTTTGTGTCAATTCGTCTGGCTCTGTCTATCTGTTATTAGTGAAGCCAGACTCCCACATGTCGTTCGGTGGCTGGCATTTATCTGTAGACAGGCAGTAACCGATTGAATTTGAGCCATACCCCTCACCAACTTGCACGCCACAAAAGACAGGCATACCTCGATCGCAACCAGCACATTTGTGTACACCACCCACTGGGTGCGTTGTAGTGCATCCTTTCGCACAACAGCGTTCACCACTAGAAGCGTCTCCCGTCAGGATCTATTGTAGTACGTACTCTAGTGTATGTATTGTAGATAAAGCCACCGTCAAGCTGAGGTGAAAGTTGAAATATTCACACTTGAAAAACCTCTAAGAGCGGGCTGCAGGACCGGCCTAAAAAGACCGGACTCATATTTAGGGGGTTGGCCAAAATAGAAATTGGACATATAAAGAGGTAGACACCCTAAAGAGGTGGACATATAAAGAGGTACGACTGTATCAAACCGACAGAGTTTTTTGGGGGGGAAGGGTTTCTTTTTGGTTTTTTATAACCGGCTACAACTAGATTAGAGAAACGGCTGATAGAGGCAGACTCCTTGAGCATTCGCATTTCGCAACCTATTTTTTGGCCTTGTTCTTCTTTATGACCACCGGCGCAGGGCAAGGTTTCACAAAAGGGATGAGATGGAACTTCTCTGGCATCCAAGGTTTAAGTGCGTCGGGAATTTTAATACCTGCGTAAGTGTGCGGTATCGATTTAATCGCGAATAGCTCAAATAGTTGGGAAACTGGACATGAATGAGGTTATATGGTACAGCTGCCCTCTCTCGATTGTTGAAGAGCCACAATTCTTGTCGTAACTGCCATAAATAGTCTTCATGAATTAGCCAGCTACTGGTACTTTTTTGTTATAGGCTATACTTGTGTGCACAGCAATTCCAGAGTAGATTAAATAAGAGGCGCATTCATTTCCAATAATCGTTGCGAAAGCGAAAACTCTTACATAGCATATACGTTTCCATTGGTGCTGACAATAACGTCTTGTTCCCAAGATGCATACCAGCTTTGTAGCTTTGCACGCATGTCAAAAATCTAAAGAAAATTTAGGTGATTTGGAATGAGAGTAAAAACGATTAGCATAGATTGACTCATACCTTCTTCAGTCTGGTGAGTTTCTAGAATAATACATATAACTCGCGTCATAGCAGCCATGGTACTGTTGAGCATGTGGACGTATGGTTGTGGGCCCTTCTTTACATCCTTGGCGAGCTTTTGCTTGCCGTAACGAATCTTAAGCCGGCGACTATTATAAGTAAACAGATGGGGTTTGATGAGATTTGAAACGAGCAACCACTACTGAAAGTACTTTCCAATCATCAAGCGGGATTACAACCGCGCAAAGAGTCTACAACTAAATGCTATATTTTAAGACGTGATTTAACGTCTGGTGTGAAAAGGTTTTAGATACAAGATCCACGTGTTTCCAATTTTCAGTATTGTACATAGGTTAAGCCGCGTCAATTTACGGTCTGCAAGTGATTTGTGTAAATTTTCTGATAATGCAACTCCCACTTGAAATGCCAAGAGTAACAGAACACATTTTAAGAAAAGTATATATTCATGCACGCATGTATGTCATGACACGGCCATGACACTGTCAGGTGTATGCAATTGCCATTGTGACGTTACACTTGAGATCAGAAACTACACTAACCTTTGATAGTCCAGACAGTTGGAGCATGACACTAGTTCGCGGAACGCCTTGGACCCGGGGAACCAGCCCTCTAGATCATACTTTTTAGCCGCAGCAAGGTTGAGCTCACCACTCACCATGTTTACAGTGCGATAGGAGATACCTGCAGGATATAATAAAATTGAAATTATGAGACCATCACTCACCGTCACAACTGCCAAGGTGAAGCATTCTGGACACCTTTGGGCGTAGTGATCACTTTTGCAACTGTGTTACTGAAATCTGTGACAGGCAACAGGTCTCTAAGAGATACAATCCCCCATGACACCAGGAAACATTCGCAATCGCCACATTTCACGCTCATGCAGAAGTAATCAAATAGTGCGCACATAGCCACAATCGATCACCCGCGATCTTTGTCGAAAAATTGTAATAACATACAATCATATTTGTGGAGCGCATAACGATGAATAGCTTATGAGTGGGGGCTACAGTTGATGAAACTAAATTAATTGAAATACGTTTCGCACATGTGCGATGGCCTGGTAACGTACCCAGCGCCTGGTAGAATTCCTCGGCGTTAGTGATCATCCTCTCCATCTCCTCCCATGATTCAGTATCCTCAGGGCTTGTCAGAACAAACTGCTCGATCTTGTCAAACTGTAGTAAAAATAATTGTTATTGAAGCATGTCAAACATCGCCTTTATCATTAATAAAAGAAACAGGGTGGTCATAAAATAAAGCAGTATACAGGTATACAGATCATGAGAACGCTTACTTCAGCAGTCGGTACATATTGCACGACTAGAAAAATCAAGCCAAAGGAACCTTCACCAGCAGTTGGATCGAGATCGTGAAAATACACAAGAAATTCGCGTAATCCTTAGGGACTGAAAGAAACATCAGCAGAATGTGATTAAATACACATGACATTAATGAATACAAGTTGTGGCAAACATACCTGATGCACACGGAAGATACCGGCTGTGTCACGCCCGTGAGAACCAACTTCTTGGCGGAAGCACGTACTGAAGCCAGCATAGCGAATGGGTAGGCTGTAGACAAAATGCGGTAGTGAGTTTTGTTCAACGTAATCGGCCTTGCCCTTAATTGAAGTCCTGCGAGAGTGCCAGCGCATTATTATTGTATACGCAATGACAACCAACAATAGAAAGAGGTATAACATACGTTTCAGGCTCGATGTAAGAGTCTCTGTGGAGAGCACAAAGGGGCTGCTCGGAAGTGGCAATCAAGTACTTTTCGTCGATTTCCTTGTCATCCTCCTTCTCACTGTAAACGGGAAATATAAAGGGAGTTGAAAACGTGCTTGATGATTGAATACATATTGAAATATATAAAGTACCCTGATCTGTCGCCGAGAAATATCTCAGAAACGTTATACGGGCCGAAAAACAAGTGCAGCACTGTATATCAAAACATATCTCTTCATATTATACTACTCACCTGGCCTTAGCGGTGACTTTGTACAGTTCGTCATCGAATTGATTGAGTTGAGCAACCTCGGCCATAATATTCTTATTCATGAAAAAGGGTGGGATGATGGGGGAATAACCCTTACCTACCAACATAGTCATAGCCAATTGTAAAACTGCAAACTCAAGCAGTACGCACGGACCTGCAAATCAGCATATCAAAAGTGGATTGAATATCGAGGGACGGACTGAAGTCGTGGCTATATACTAGATCGTATACTGCTGTACATTTGATCCTGTAGTGATAATGGCGTCTCTGCCATGCAACCAATGCACTGTCGAGCTCTTTGTCATAAACATAAATTGGATTACATCCATATTATGAGTGCAGTTAAAGTTAAGCACAAGAGTCGTTTGCAGATAGAAGGCTACTCCTCTCTATGTATCAAATATTGATGAGACAGAGGATAAAGAACCACGGCTGTGATTTCCATACCTCGCATGTAAAGCACATAGTATCTATTGATGACAATTCAGATCTGCTCACCTTTCAGGTAATATCCACGATTTCCGGCTGCGATGGTGCCTGCTGGAATGTCTACACCATCGATCATTTCGATCAGATCTCTATGTGAGTATTTCTTCTCAGGTGTTTCGCCAAAGGTATGGTAAATCTCGTTGTTGTCCTGCGAAGGCATGATGATATGAGGTAACAATGTTACAAAATTGTGGTTTTTTAAAGACTTCCGATGAGTTGTAACCCAAAACAAAGCGATGCCATACCTCATCCTGATCAATGGGTACGCTGTCGTGTACAATATTTCCAACGGAGCGTAGTAGGGACATGCGGAGCTTATCTTGTGTCTCCGTCTCGGTTTTGGTATCGATTAGAGATTGGTCGATAGTTGCACGGACGGACTTGAGCTGGGGTAGCGATAGTGTCTGCCAACCCAGGGCAATTATATGCGAGTAGATTGAGGAAGCATTTAGATAATATTTTGAAGTAAAGCATCTATGCAATGATAAACTACGAGAACTGATAGGATCGAAATGGTGGAGGCTATACTGGCACGTTGAGCTCAATGAAGCATACGTGGTGAAATTGATTCTGCCCATTGCCTTTGATAACTTTCTATGTACACAAAATCCACCACTTTTCAATTTAACGTAGTACAAATGTTGCACAGTCACCAGTATAAACGATAAGCATATACCGAAACTATCAACAACAAAAATGTAATCAATGAAGATGCGAATTGCGCGAATAGACACCGTACCACCCGAGCAACTTTCACATGATCTCAACAGACGCATGAAACTAACGTACCTGTAGAGAATCGGCCGTAAGCTTGGTAAGATCTGTGTCGAATTCAGACGGCAGCTCGGCACTACCAGTGTCTGATGCCTTCTGTCTCATAAGTAGCCCATAAGCTTTGCTCACCAAGTTCTTGGCCTTGAGCAGCGCATCTGCTCGGAAGCGAGCTGCAAAGTGTTGAATGCATAAATAAGCAACAGTGGGCCCCACGAGATTATCAAGCAAGATTTGAGGGAAATTGTGGCAATATATGAGAGCCAATCTATGAATTGCGATATCGAGGTCAGAAGGTGAATGGTATGTTCATTACGATTTCCAATACCTTGTCTCCAGGCTCTATCGGCGTTTGTGATCTCATCAATAATCTCTTCGCTGTGGAATCGCCTCCTCTGCGACTCCTTCAATACAGGGATATCACCATCCTGGTCATCCCGGAATCGTGTGATCTCTAAAACCATCTACGTGTGAGGAAAATACCAACAAACAGTGTCGAAAAAATTGAATTTGCCCCAGCCAGAATTTGTACCAGCAAAATATGTATTCGTGGTATAAGTGTAGCCCTATACGGCACTACAAGGGCCAAAACGATGGTTACCTTGTCAGAAAGACTGCATGGTATCTAGAAGTCGAAATGTGAAAAAAATCGAAAACACCGGAAAATACTCGGAAAAAAAAAGTTTACGAGATATATATATATATATATAAATATACATATATACATACATGCATACATACATACATACATATATACATACATACATACATACATACGAACGTACATACATACATACATACATACAAACATACCTACCTACCTACCTACCTGCCTGCCTACCTACCTACATACATAAAACATACCATACATACATACATACATACATACA